GTCGAAGGTGAGCATCATAAGTGGCTTCTTAAGCTTATGAATTATGACTTTGAGATTCAGTACAAACCGGGTGCCGATAATACCATGGTTGACACCCTATCTAGGGTTCCTGCTAAAATGCACTTAAGCTCTCTTACAGTACCTATTTGTCTTGATTTTGATGACCTTAAGGAGCAAGTTGATGTTGATCCTTTTCTGACCCACATCAAGCATGCCATACAGCATGATCCGGCTGCCTATCCCGCCTATTCTTTAGTTGGAGAACACCTACGTTATCATGGTAAACTGGTTCTGCCGGCTTCTCCATTTATTCCCCTCTTACTTAAGGAGTTTCATTCAGGAGTTGTGGGAGGTCACGCGGGTATCCGCCGAACATATAGGCGCATAGCAGCTGAATTTTACTGGCGGGGGATAAAGCGTAATGTCCAGGAGTTTGTACAGGCCTGCGATGTGTGTCAACGCAGTAAATATGAAGCCATGTCCCCTGTTGGCCTTTTACAACCTTTACCCGTACCTGAATAGATCTGGGAGGATATTTCTATGGACTTTATTGAGGCTCTTCCTAAATCAAGAGTGTTTGATACAATTATGGTGGTGGTCGATCGTCTCTCCAAGTATGCCCATTTTATCCCTCTCAGTCATCCTTTCTCAGCTCTCACGGTTGCTCAGGCCTTCCTGCACAACATAGTTCGCTTACATGGCATTCCCCGCTCAATTGTATCTGATCGTGATAAAGTCTTTATGAGCTTCTTCTGGCGCGAGCTTTTTACCCTGCAGGGTTCAGAATTGCGTCATAGTTCAGCTTACCATCCTCAGATAGATGGACAGTCGGAGGTGGTTAATCGTTGTTTGGAGACTTATTTGAGGTGCTTTGCAGCTGATTCCCCCTCCCGCTGGTCTTCTTGAATATCGTGGGCAGAATACAGCTATAATACCTCTTTTCACATTACTGCTGGCATGACACCTTTCAAGGTGGTTTATGGGCGCGATCCTCCTCCATTAATCCGCTATGAGCTTGGCTCTACGGCTAATGCTGATGTTGAAGCTATTCTCCTTCAGCGAGATGCTATACTTAGGGAGCTATGTGCTCATCTACACTGTTCACAACAAAAGATGAAAGACTCGGCTGATGTGCACCACCGTGATGTTAATTTTGAGGTTGGGGATTCGGTGTATGTGCGAGTGCGAACTTATCGCCAGCAGTCTCTAGCTCGCCGAGCCAATGACAAGCTTGCCCCTCGATTTTATGGACCATTTTCCATTGTGGAAAGTATTGGCGCTGTCGCTTATAAACTTCAACTTCCTCCAAAGGCAAGGATTCACCCTGTTTTTCACATCTCGCAACTCAAGAAGGCAATTGGCAATCATATCTCTTCTCCCGTGATTCCTTCCACTCTGTCAGCTGATATGGAAATGCTGGTGGAACCTGCAGCTGTTCGGGGGGTGCGTCCATCCACTATGCCTGGAGTTATTGGTTCGGAAGTTCTTATCCATTGGCAGGACCTGCCTGATTTTGAAGATTCATGGGAGCCTTTTGACTTACTTCGCGATCAATTTCCTCATTTCAACCTTGAGGACAAGGTTAAACTTTGGGCGGCGGGTAATAGTAGGCCCCCAATTAATTTTACGTATGCTAGGAAGGGGAAAGGTCAGCTTTCGGCCAAGGGGGGGAAATAATTGAACATGGGGGAACTTATGGCTGGAGGGAATAAGGAGAGTTTTGTGGCATTTATAGCTTGTCAGTTGAGAATAAGAAGAGTGTGGGGCATTTAGCATTTATAGCTTGTTAGTTGGGAATAAGAAGAGTGTGGGGCATTTATAATTCGGCCAGCTGGGCATGTATTATGGAAGGCAGTTATGCTGTAAGATGTGTATAAGAAGGGGCTTTGGGGGATGGAGGAGACGGACTTTTGCTGAGTAAAGAATTCTGTGAATGCTTGGGAGAGCCGGTGGTCTCTCGAAGAACCGACCCACTGTAAGTGATCTTCTTTTCTTCTGAATGACTACCAGTTCCCTGTTGATATTCTAGTGGTGTGGATTCTGCTGTGAGTCTGCAAATTGCGTGTCAAGTCTCTGGGACTCTTCAGCTTATTGAGAAAGCCCAAGCCCGACCCAAAAAAAGTTGGGCCTGGTGTTTTGGGCCCAAGACTGTGGGCCTAAGTTCATGTCCAAGCCTGACTAAGAGTGGATCGGACCAGGCCAGCCCGTTGGGCTACCTGGCCCATGAACAGGTCTGGTTATGACCAGTATACATATGAATGAAAGGGCAGGCACTCAGATCTAATATTCTTTCATCAATCTTCCTTACCTCTTCTACACTCTCTCTTCTATATTCTGAATCTCTTGCACTTTATTCTTTTATTTTTTTTCCTTGTTCTTGCAGCTTGAATTTCTTCTTGAATTAGAAAAGCAAATCAATCTATTACAACTAACTTTCATAGTTAGTTCCATTGATTTTAGTTAATTAATTTGAAATCTAGTTTCTAGTTATAGTTTCTTTATGTTCAAGTAATGTCCACAAGTTAAACTGAAAGTGTGAAACTTTAGCCCTAAAATCATTCAACTTCTTGAGTTGATCTTCTACTCATCTCTTTCTTTATCATTCATTTCCATCAAAATTTCATTTCTGAAATGCATTTCACTATAGATTCACTTTTTCTTGCAAGTTCATAGGAATCACCTTTTTTTTCAGATTTTTTGAAATTCTAGAAATCCTCCTACATGAGGTTTCTTCAATCTTCAATTAAATTCCAAAGGTGATGTTTTTATGAATATTTGAAGGATGAATTTGGATAAGCTTCCTGCAGCAACCTTGTCATGGGAAGCAGCAGAAAAAAGCTATAAGAGTGCCATATGATATCCAGTACAAGAAAGCAACTTTCTTGGGTAAATTAGGCCTAGCATAAGCATAGGATACAAAGGGTATTGAGCTGCCCCAACCTACTCACCAGCCCCAACATACAGACCCATCACAACCCTAAGGTAGGACTCAACCAGCAGCCTGCTGGCTGACCAGAGAAATTCGTTTTATCATAATTATATAACTTTGTGTTTCATATAATTTTTAGGGGTCTTTATAGATTCCTCCACCTCATAAATTTTTATAGCTATGTACAGCTGGGAACAGTGACAGGTGGGGGAATCTATCACAATACAAGGGTACTGTAGCATAGGTGGGGGTTTGGGATAATACATTCAGAAAACCAATAAAAATTTGCGAAGGGGAGCAAACCATAAATTTCCCTAATTTTTATGAAGTGATATATGAGAAAAACAATGTTTTTTAAAAAACAACCTGGAAATGGAACTGCTTTTCTCTTCAGGTGGTGGATCAGTAGTTCAAGCATCCAGGTCAAATTGGTCAACAGGTCAACCCATGACATCATAAATCAAATAATGCAGAAAAATGAGTGCCTCTAATATCATATATTCATAATATTAAACAAAAATAAGTGCTATAAATGAGAACTGTTATTAGTGATGGAAATAGTTAAAAATACAAAAAAAAACCAAATAAAAAGGACTTGTCTAACCGGTGGCAAGGTGGCTTGGGTCAAATGGTTCAGCGGTTCAATTGGGTAGATCTCTAAGTCATTGACAGAGTTTTTTTTTTTCTTTTTTGCAAGAAAACGGTTATAGGGCTAAATGAACCTGGAAACCTGGCCAGGTGATGGGTTGATTGGTTCAGTCTGACTTGCTCAATTTCACAGACAAATTAACAAAAGAAGAAACATGTTTTTTGGATAGATAACAGAAATTTTATTAATGAAAGTACGAAACATAACAAAGTACATTATAAGATTGTGTTGTACATATCATTACACTTCATGAGAGCATAGCCCCTGCTATCACTCACCGCAATAGATTCTTTTATAATTGAGCCCAAAAAACCTGATGCCTGACAAAAGATGATAAATGTTACATTTTATTGGGATAGGCATGTCTAACCAAGCCTTGAAATGTCAGGCCCAAATAACCCAGTCTGGACATGATTGGCCCTACAGCCAGGTTGCCTATTGCCACCCCTAAGTAATTTTTTGAAACAATAAAGCCAAAATTGGACCAAAATTCAGAAGCAAAAATAAAGGAAAGGATGCTTTGAACTTCAGCTCTAGCCACAAATTGTGTTGCTCGAAGATATGGCTGGGGATGAAAGCTGTGTGTGCAAAAGTGCTTTTGCTCTTTTGATGCAACCAGGTTTCTCCAAACTGAAAACTAGTAGAAGATTAAGGGACCATTTGATAACAACTGAAGTGACTGGACTGAATAACGTATTGCTTTGCCTTTGAAAAAGTTATTAAAAGAGGTTGTGAGATCCTTAATGGCTGAAAGGTATACAAAAATTTCATCAGAATTAAACCACTCAAAAACTAGGCCAAACAGGCTAGCCAAAGTTGGCTATCTAGCTAACCTGCAGATCTGAATCTACTCTTGGTTTTTCTCTCCAGTTTCTTCTTGGCCAACTTTGATAATGTCTTCCTATAACCATCTGCATCATCTTTTACTCCAAAAAGCACAAGATCTGAAGTAGGTTCAAATGCACACCAAAATTTTTTTTTGATCAAATGCAGACCAAATTTCCTTCATTCCAATTTTTTTATATTGATCTCTATAGTTTGATTTTAATTTCTGCACCATATCTTTGAAGACTAAGGCTGTCCTACATCACTGTGGCTTTACATAAGACTACAAGTGACCAAAATACCCTCTAGCTATTCATTATTGTGTCATAGTCATGCCCTGATAAAATTGTTTGATCATTTGCAGGCTTAAATCAAAGAAAACAGGTTTTCTTTGGGCTTTAAGGATGCAAACAATCCAGATAATGTTGGAAGACAAATGTAATAGTAATACAGAACAACTCAAGGAAATACACATGAATAAGATATGAATATGGAGAAAATATAAGGATGCAAAGACTCTGGACAAAATAAGAAGAAAATGGAAAAAAAATTGAAAGTGGATAGACTTGAATATCCAAAAATATATTTCATGGCTACCTGCTGTTCAATGACATGTATATGTTCAAGGAACTGAGAAAATATTATCACTTTCTCAGGAAGTAACTTGTAAGACTCAACATTTGTTTTGCTGTAATCCTCTTGATTAAGGAACACATTCCAGCGTCTTTTCTGAGGGAGCAAAGGAAGTGAATGAGAGAGCTCTACATCTTCCTCCTTATCTGTAGAGCATCCTATTTTTTTATTGGCCTCCTGCAATTCTTTCAACCTTTCCACAAGATAAGCAACTTTGCTGCTTGATGTTGCGTGCCAATCAGGATCCCAGTTATCCTGTATATTTCAGCAAGTAATATGTGGATGAAAGTTAAAGACACAAAGGAAGAGGAAGGGATAGATGAAACTTAATGGATCTTTAGAGGGGAAAAAAATCCTGCCTGTTTGTAAGAAGGTTGTAACTCAATAAGATCTTTGGGAACAGGCCATTTTGGATTAGGATTTTCAGGACGAGTTAATATTTCAGGACTCTGCATCTCATAAGAGTAACCACAACCGGGGGAAGTGCACCTTTCACTATCCAATGCGATACAGTCAAGGCATAGAAGATGCCTACAAGGTGTAATAATAGGAAGGCGGCACCACTCTTTGCACCTAAAGATATATATAAGGAAAAGAAAGCAATAATTAACTTTCATATCATATGACAGGATACATATGAACATGAAACACAAATGCCAAATGATACCTGAAACAGTTACCACCATTAAGGAGATAATTTCTAATCACAACATACTCTTCTGAATCACGATCAAGACCCTGTTCCACTAAAATATCCATGGTTTCCTGAATATCCTGACCGGCATCTGTTACTTTAATATGTCCAGCCACACAGCATGATAGCCTCACGTTTCTGATTGTGGTGCTGCGGAACTTCCACTGTTTTGGGTTCAAGAGGCTCTCCACATGAGAAGGATCATTCCAATCAGCCATTAAAATATTGCGGCGAACAGTGACTACCAATTCATTGTAACTTCTTGCATGTTGCTCAGTGAAATCAACAAAAGTCACTTTCTTGATGCAAGGAGGAATTGTTTGCAAATCTTTCTTTCTGGCACTAATCATGCACCTTTGAAGTAGCTGCAGCAGATGCAAACGGCCTTCTTCCATTTCTGCCTCAAATGGCCTAAGAATGCCAGCCTCCCATGACTTCTGGTTCTGTCCATATGCTTCCTCATGGAGAAACTTAAGCATGGGTTGAAGATGTGATACTTGACTGTTGGGTGTATTTGGAGTTGGTGTTCCAGTTAATATCCATCGATTTGAAGCTGTTAATGAAATAGCCATTTGCAATTTGTTTGTCAAGCTAAGACTTGAACCAAGGGTGTGTCCTTCATCTAGCATTATTCTAAGCCAATGCACTTGCACTAATACACTCTTCTTACGGGGACCCCATTCTGCACTTAAGCGATTAAAGGTGGTTATGACAATATCATAGTCCCATGCCAGACTATGTGCACTGGGCTTTCTCTGATCAGTCCAGACATAGATGCGCAGATGTCCTGGTTTGACATGCTTTTGGATTTGTGCCTTCCAATGATCTACTAAATTTGCTGGGACAACAATAAGAGTTGCTCTTGACAAATATAACCTGAATATATCTAATGGTTTGGTGAGAGCAATTCGAAGTGCTGCCAAATCAAAAGCCAAATTGACAAGCCTGCATGGGTAATACCATCGAACAATACCCTTTTCAACTCTCTTTATCAGACCAAAGGATTGAAATATTTTATGGTATCCATTGGCATCAACGTCAGAAACCATACGTGTATCCAAGACAGGACGCATCAAGCCAGTTGTTTCCATTTCTAAGAGTTTGTCCTGAGAAAGTTTAGATAACCAAGTTAAAGCCTTTCTTGTCTCAGAATTTATCAATGGATAATGATCTTTAAGCACACTTGTGAAAAACAACACATTTTGCTCCTTTCCTCCTCGGGTTCCTTTAGTGTAAAACCCTGGTAAATATGTTATAGACCGGTTATAGTCATGAGATTCCTCTGGAATGGCACAACTTTGATGTAGTGGATCAGTGTTCATGCTACAAAACCATGCTGCAGTAGCATCTGGTATACTTTTGTCTGAAAGTTTTCGCCACTTGTGACACACATCACACTGAACCCAAGTTTCACTATACTCAGAGTGTTCAATACTAGCTTTCTTAAGATTCTTAGAACGGTTTGACAATTTGGATGGCATAGCTCGCTTTTCCAGAGAGATATTTCTTGAGCCAATGGAAGCATGTCTCCTTTTTATTCCATCATTTCTAACCCTGCTGTGTTTTGGAAGGCCTGAAGCTCCTTCATATTGATTTAGAAGATTTCTCTTTACACGACTCAAACTCCTTGTGCATCTAAGGACATGTGCCGCTGGCAAAGAGTGTGCAGCTGTGGAAGATGTAATTTCCAATTTGCTAGGACAGGAAACAGTAGACCTTCCATACAGCGCATCAGAGACCGGTAATCTTGATCTCTTTGATGAGGATTTGGAATTTGTTGCTGAAATAAACTTATCTGTACAGATTTGTCCTCTTCGTCCATTCTGACCTACAATCCTTTTCCATGATGACATGAAATTACCAGGTGAGAAATGACCAGAACTAAGCTCATAATAGCCACATTTCAGGTCAGGATTATGCATACACCATGTTACTTCTACCCCATCTGGTGGGTCTGCTAGTGTTCTTTGTGTCTTCAGAATTAGTGAAAGAGCAGTTATAGTCTTACCTAAGCCTGGTTCATCACAAAACATACCCCCACGGAAATCCCTGATGGTTGGAGCAACTCCAGTTGCTATTTCACCAGTAACAGCATTCACATAAAAATGGAATCCATCATCAGTTGAGAAATCCATATACAAAGGATGTGCCAAGACTTCAGCATTGTGTTCACGTTGTAACATCCATTCAACTGCTGCCTGCTGATGAGGAAAAAGTTTGAGCTTCATACATGGCATGATTGAAGCAGCTAAGGACCTTAGATGTCGGCAAGTGGCTGCAATCCTAACAAGATCCATTGGTCCAAGTGCAGTTAGGATATTAATCAACACATCATCTGAGACATCCCAAATGCCTGAACTAGGAGATGCATCTGCCGGTTTTATTCTTGTTGAATAAACCTTTCCCTCCTTTGTTATACCGGGTAAGCTCTTAAAAATTTCATGAAGCTCAAACCTCCTTTTCTTAGAAGATCCAAGCTCATCATAATGCATATTACATCCGAAAACATGACAATCTGAAAGGTTCCAAATTCTCCCATCATCCACATAAGTAAATTTACACTGATTTCCATCACTGGCGAGCATGAAGTTTCTCTGTTCCCAGTCACAACTGCAGAGACATATATATGTTTTCATTAAGGCAGGCAAAGAATTATGAGGTCCAATATATATAAATCAAGAAATGATTGAAGTACAGTTTGAAACATAGAGTGACAGTATGCTGAAGTTAATTACTAGCATTATCTTCTCACTTTTTGGCTGCAGGTGGTACCATCCTTGAGTAGTGGGAGACCTGTTCAAGGACACTTTTTCTTCCTCCACCCAAGAGGAGGGGAAAGTTTTTCTAGAGACGCACTAGGGAAGCTGTGATCTAGACTGTCTGGGAATGAAAAAACGTTAGAATCTTTCTAGACAAGCAATGGACAAAAGAAGCACTCATTACGAATATATCCATAAAGTTGCACATTGGGCAAAAACTTAGGCAGTATTCAATCTCTATTGCACTAATGACATAATCAGGAAATAGCAAGGTATGGAAAGTTCATCATTGGCAAGGACTGCGGTTCATTTGGAATGGACTCCACCAGGTTATGATTTCATCAAGTTGAACTTTGATGGTTTCTAATTAAGCAATTCAGGCAAATTAGGAATAGGTAGAATGTTTAAGAACTGCCAAGGCAATGAATTGGCTTTATTTTTAGAACCAATAGGGTAATGGTGCCTCTACAAGAGCTGAGTCACTTGCAGTCTTACAAGGGCTAAGAATAGCCAAACACTCAATTACAGAAATCTAGTTCAGTGTTGCTTGGACACCCCAGTCTGAAAAAGGCTTACAGATCAACACATCGACTCAGTGTTGCTCGCCAAAATCCATGTCCAACTCAATGGCTGTACAAATCTAACGAATTTACTGAAATGCCCACCACATTGACTTGTTAAAAATATGAAACATAACTTTTTTTTGGATAAATAATATGAATCGTAACTTTGAAAACCTTTATTTTAAGGTTTGACTGTTCCTAGCTTATTTTCCTCAGTACTCTATTGTTAAATGGATGAATGCAAAGTTTTCATTTTCATAATTCATTAATGTGGGACCTTGAATGTCAACTTGCACGCCCAACTAGTTAAACTTGATTGTTCATTTCAACCAAATGCTGACAGCTGATACCTCTTTCTCACTTTTAAGATAAATAAAATAATCACCATCATCATCCATGTCTTTCTCAATAATTTCTGCCCATTAGATTTTGTAATAAGAAATTAAGGATATAAATTTTTGTTTTTCACTTTCAAGTTTCAATATACTAAAGAAAATTGTCAATTGTAAATTGTAACTAACTATTTAAGTTGCCATGGTTATACAGTTCCATAATGATGAATAATTAAAAATCATAATATTTAATATACAACAAAATATTATTTGTATGAGACATGTCCACAAGTCCTACCTTTTTAGACTTGCCAAGTCAGACTCCTGGACATTTTGTAAAGGCCATTTACTCTTTCTCCTGCATGCCTTCTGTCAAGTCCCTTCTTGAGAGCTGGAAAGTTAAAGGTATGAGCAAAAAGGGTAGGATCTTGTGGAATGCAATTCCTTTGGCAGTCCAGTGGTCCATTTGGTGGGAGAGAAATAGAAGGATCTTTGATCAAAAGCAGCTCCAAGTAGAAAAGGTGATAAATTCAGTTGTAGATGATCTCAGAGGGTGGCCGAGTACAAATATGCTGTACAAAGGGGATGTGTCCCGTGCTTGTTTAATGGTTAATTTTTTTTAGGGTTTCTAAGGTTGTTCTTTTGTACAGCCTTTGTACAGTGAACTCCTTCTGTATCCATCTTTTGTTTAATAAAATTTTACTTTACCTCTTCAAAAATTATAAAAAAAAACATGTTGGATTATGATTCCCATGTTTGAGTCCATACAACACTGATCTAGTTTTGGAGGAGATTCCAAAGTGGCTGTGGGATAGTTAAAGCTCAACAAGGATGGTTCATGGTGGTATAGACACGTTATGAGAAAAATACTGCAACCAATAGGAGGAATGAGAATCAATTTTCACTGGATAAACAGCCTAGAGACACTTCAGCTAGGCAAGGAGTCCACAGAAATCAATTGCACTGGGGTGGGATATATGCTTGTAGGGACACTGGAAATATATAAGGGTAGATCAGGTCTGTCAATGGGTCGAGTCTGCTTCAGGACAGGTGTACCAGTCCCGAACCAATTACTAATTGGAACAAAATCATAAACCCAGAACCATCCCGATTATTAATTGGGATAATCAGGTCTGACCCAATTATACTGACATAATCAAGTGTTTTTAACCAAAATTATCTTATATGTTATCTATTGAATTTATAACTGGGTGGCAGTTTAGAGATCAAAAAAAGACTCTTGATCTTTACTGTGTCAGCCCTAGTTCTTCTACACTCTCTCCCAATTCTTTCTTTTCGAGACTGAGATTTAGAGGACTGATTTCTGCTCTCTTTTCTCTCTTTATTTTCTCTTTCTATTCAGTTTGAATATGCATAATTTTCTTGTACATTGTATCTCTTATCTATTCTTTTATTCAATTAATAAATCCGTTTCGGTTACCAATCAAAAAACAGGAGCCTCCCATCAGTCTTGGACACCTATAGCTAAGAACCTTTTCAATCAAAATAAATAAGAGTTGAGACAATGGACCCCCTTGTCTTCAAGCCCTATAGTTTACAAAGGAGTTAACTGAATGGAATAGTGGGCACAGCCCTCAATCTCCCTCTAATACAACATTTACAGTACTAATTACAATATCATTTCCACTTCCGTATTTAATTTTTTGTGAATTCTCAGTTTTTTTTTTTTTTTGATAAATAGCAATGAATTTCATTAAGATTAAAGAAGAAGCATACATACAAACAGAGGGAGGTAAGCTATCTTAACACCCCTGCAATCAACAAAACAAATTACAATATTAGGAATGAGCCCAAAACAAAGAGTCCCTAATCACCCCTTGATTGCCAGCCATTTTCTCTAATTACCAGAAATAGCATAGTTCCTTGTTCCCTCTTTTTAACCATATTTAACTATATTAGTTCCAACCAATCCCATCCTATCTACTTGGTCTTATTTGGTTCTACACCACTGGATTAGAAAATTATGTAGTCAACTTAGGCAACTTTCCTTTAGACTGTGCCAGGTTTGAAAGAAAATAAAAGGGCAGCCCAGTGCATGAGGCTCCTGCCAATGTGGGTTCTGGGGGGGGACAGATGTACGCAGCCTTACCCCTGCACATATAGAGAGGCTATTTCCAAGATTTAAACCCTGGTCACCCAGGTCGCAATGGAGCAACCCAACTGTTGCGCTAAGCTGCCAAGGCCCACCCTCTGGTTTGACAGAAAATAGGAGAGCTAATTCTTTTTTGTTTTTTTTTTTTTTTTTGATAAATGTCAATTCATTCTTAAAATGGGAGAAGCTCTGTTTACATATTTCTAAAATCATGAATCTATATCTGCTCTAGTGCAATAATGCCAAAGTGTTTTATATGCACCCCCTATAACTTTATATCTATTATTGGCAAAAGAAGTCAATTAAATCCAGCAAATAATAAGGTTGCCCCAAGTGTTTAGGCAACCTCCATTTTCTAGGATAGCACTAAGAAATTAACCAAAATGTCAACTTATTTTCTACCATATGGAAACATTACCAAGTTCCAGTACAGGACATAGAAGCTCCATCTCAATCTGAAAGAATAAAAGAGGTAAAGGTGGGGGTTTTCCCTCCATATGTAGAACCGCCAGAATAAATACAATGTACAAGACACAAATGGAAATAACCTAACCCGCAAACAACAAACTCTATGTCCAAAAGCATCAATTTATAACAAAAGGATGAAGTTTTATACCTCAAGTGCCTGAACAGAGCAGCTGCCGTTGACCCTGATCTGGGGAACTGCCAACCTGACCATAACGCTATTGGCAAATACACATCAAGCAACACAACAGCCCTTGCTTCCCCACTGTTACGAACCACACTCTTAACTACTCTGGCGACAATTTCCAAACACTTATTCACTGTCAAAGCGTGAAGCTGACGGACCACGCTCATGCTACCATGAACAAGTCCAATTACCCGCCTCTTCTTCCTTGAAGACCCACACTCACTCGCAATAACCTTGCGCTTCCCAGAATCGGGGGTCAAAATCCCACAATTGATCTCAGAATTCTCTTTCGAATCTACTATATCCAATGCCGGATTTCCACCGCATTGAATTAACGATAACACTGTACCATCTTCGCAGCGAAAACCCACAGCGGACCCTTCTCCGAAGATGTAGCAACGCGTCCCAATAGCTAGCTCTTTGGATTGGTCGTTCTGTTCATGCTGGTTAGGTGAATTCACAGAAAGAACAGCACAGACGAAACCACAGAGCTTGTGCTGCTGAAGAACCTCTTCTTCTGGAGAGCCTTCCATTGTCGAACTGGAAACCTAGTACTCAGGATTCGAAGTTGTTCTTCTAATCCATCCAAAACAGATGGAGAGAGAGAGAGAGAGGTGACCAAATTGCAGAGAAAAAAAAAGCGATAACGGTGGGAGCCCGGGAGCCGGGAGGTGTAATCGTCTATTTCCAATAAAATGGATCGGGTGGGTGGGACCCATCCATCACAGTAAAGCTGTAAAGGCACTTCTATGAGAATTGAGATTCACGATCAACGGTTATTAAACATGTCCGATCACATTCATTGAAGTAGATCCAATTCATTGATGAGAGGGATCAGGAATCTAATCTATACTAAAAGTAGGTGCGAACGAGAACAACTTATCCCCGCCATCTCTTGATTCTCTTCTCGAGCGACCGAAGTCGGAAGAGTACACAGCGACAGAGATCCACCGGAGTGACGGCCGACGGGGAAGCGGAGGTGATTTTGATTATTTCCGGCGACCTTGCGCATTCTGCCTCTGGATCGAACATGTCAAATCATTCTATCTCAGGGACCGCCAAGGAAGAAGAAATTCCATCCCAATTCCCAAGAATTGTGGTTCAATTCAACAAGCTCAGTGCCTTGGAGAATAATACAAGCCTACAAGGTTTTGGAGATTTTGTTCCTCGATTCACAGAGATGGACGAGCGGGCGGGCGGACGGGCGGGCGGACGGGCGGGCAGCAGCACCGAAGACTCCTTGGGAGGGCCACGGGCGACCTCTAGAGATCCTTATCGGAAATTGGGATTGTTCCTCACCGAGCGTTCTTCACACCGACCTCACAGACATCCCCGTGAATAATAAATTCAACAACGGGAGATGTTCCCAATGTGCGGTCAGTACAGGTTATGAGAACACTCTGTGAGTTCGCCTTACCGCCAATTCCCTCCGTGCATTGGGAATATCTCACCATTTTCTTGTGCCGGAAAGAGTGGATAGTGGGCTGCCAGTGTGACGCGATATGTGTGCAACCGAACCCGTCTCCTTAGTGTGAACTGCAAGGCTAATTATTTTGAGTTTCGACTTTGGGAATAAAACTGAGGATAGATTTCATATTACTACCCTTATCTTGAGGCAGTGATACTTTAGCCCCAAACTTTCACTTGCAATTAAAACTCCCTCAATTTTCAAATGGTAACACTTTGTCCCCTCTTTGTTATCGACTTCCGAGATTGTCATCCAGAGGATAATATTTGGCATGTAAGAGAAAGGACAAAATGGTCGCACAAATTAAGGAAGTAATAATTTGGAGATTAGAAATATTTAACAAGCATGTAACAACCGCATAAGAATCTTTTTTGAATATTTTTATTGAATGTTGTATTTCTAATTTTTTACATGCAAAATAGTAAAAAAAAAAAATTTAGTTATCAAGCTTCAAAGGTTAGAAAAATTTTTTACATGTAACAACTACCTGGTGGTGCTCCCTAGTGGCGAACTCCCTGGTGGCGAATTTCCTGGGGGCATCCATATTTGCAAAATGTTTTAATCGCAGTATCCATTTGAGTAGAGTGTGACATGGTACTTTGTAGTTAAGGAAGAGGTCTTTCCCTTTTAGCAGTACTTTGATGATTATGGGCTAAAAGGTTAAGTGTAAGAGACCATTACAAGGCTGATTATTTGATGGGCTTCATCTAACATAAATCTATTATCCTTGAGTTTTCATAAGGTGGTTGAATCCAATGATCATTTATATGTAAATGTTGGGCCCAACTAAACTCAAGCTGATTGGGTCAAAGGTTCATTATGCTTAGGTAGTGAATATAGCTTAACATCTTCCAAAGGTTGGGTCAAACCCTTATGGACTTGTGTTAGACCTTTGTGGGTCACACTCTATACAATATTCAAGCCTACATAGCCTTGCAACACATACAAAAGTTAGCCATTAAAGAAAATGGACCTAAGGCCCATTACTAATATGATTAGTTAAATAGGCAAGTTGTCATGTGACATGGGGCAAATATGGGTCATGAATATGGGTATGGAGCACCCATTCTTCTAATAAGATAGAGTTTATCCATAAGGATAAATCCTAATTCAAATCTAATTTTAATTTAACTCCTATTAGGACTAGGAAAGTGCTTTATATGAGTACCATTTAGGAGCTGCATTTGTGGACTTTGTATCAAGTATAATCAGAAGTTAATTTGAATTTCAAATATGGTTTGGTTCAATGCAAGATCGATCCCAAAATTTTATATTTCAAAATCACTAGGAAACCGATTCCTAGGTTGGGTTAGAAAATTTTTTAAAAATTTAACCAGCCACTTGATCTAGTTTAATCATGTCCAATCTGATTTTTAACTCATCCAACGGGTGGCTTAGTTGATATGTTATCTAATTAGTTGTAGTAAGAGACCTGGGTTGGGGCAATGGGTTACCTCCTATTGTGTAGCCCTACAAAGCCAAAAATTATGCTTGGCATGAGATTAATAACCAAATTAAAAAAAAATAAAACAATTTCAAAATTGAACCGATGAAGATAACCAAAAACTCATATTAAGTTCTTTCTTACTTCATTTTATTATTGAACCAAAACAATCCATTAAACAAATCTACATTAAAATAAATTAATAAAAACAAAGGGAAAAACCTAAGCCTAAGGAAAGGAGCAAAATAGAGGGAAAAACCTAATAACCCAAAGAAATGAGCGGTGATTTGTTTAGATTGGTTCACCCCATGTAATGGTGGGAAAATTTGGGTTTTTAGACATTAATTTGGGTCTAAGCTAAGGTCATATTTAAGTTGACCCTTAACCTAACCTAACTCATCTAATTCACACCTACTTTATTAGAGAGAGCCAAAAGGGATTAAGAGATATTTAAGAGGAAAATAAGGAGTTAATTGGCAAGGAGATGTTACAAACATTCACTATTAAGGTGAGAGAGAGAGAGAGATTTATTAGAGAGTAAATATGGATTTTATGAGAGACAATAAAGACCTATGTTGTTTTTAATAATTTAATATAAAAATAAAGATGCACATGTGTGAGAAAGGAGAGGAGGAGGTACGTGTGAGCTTTGTGGTGAGAGGACCCTCACCTCCCCTCTTTCCTCTTTATATTATATATATATATATATATATATTGTTTGGGTCATGGTTAAACTGGTCCTAGAAGACACGTGGCCGCCCAGCCATTGCCAGCCCGACCACGTCGGCATAGCTTGATCGAGCTATGCTATTATTGTGGCCCCTCATCCTAGCCCCTCAACTACATTGTTGGCATAGCTCCGACAATGCTTAGAAGATTTCTACGATTCACAACCGGTTGACTCGGTAGTTGTCCTACTTCTCTCCTTGCATTGGTTTCGGCTAGCTGTCCTATTTGGCTCTATAATCTAGCGATGGACTATTGTTGAGTTAGAATCAGCTGCTGAAGCTGCATGAATTTGTCATCAACTGTACTGGTCTGAGGAGGTTGTGGGTAAACCTGATAAGGTTGGACTGGCTGGTTCCTAGGGTAAGTCTACTGGAAATGGCTTTGCATTTGTGGCCTCTGAAATTGCTGGGCCATGGAGTTAGATGGATGGTACTCCTAGGAATGTATGTTAGGTTAGTGTGTCCTCCAAGAAAAGTTAGGGTGATTTCTCCACCCAGGGTTGTAAGTATTTGAAAATGGGTCATTATTAGGCCTTGAGAAACTCTGGGCTGCCTGAACCTGTTCTTGGATAAACGATGGAAGATGCGCCGCCATTGGACAATCATCAACTTGGTGGGCTAGGCTGGCACAAATGGAACAAACTTCAGGGTAAGGTGTAGATAGGCCTGGTTGCTGGTTATAGGTGAAGAATTGATCAAGCTTTTGGGCTAGAAGATCCACCTTGTCCAATTTTTTAGATATTGCATTCAGGTCCATTCTTGCCTCAAGCTCTATACTGTTCCTGACTTCGTAGAGCCCTGCCGTCTTTGAGGGTCCCACCGACCTCTCATAGGAATATAATGATGCATTGTTGATGAAATTTTCACTCAATGTTTCGAAAAGAGCATATGCTTCATCATCACTTTTACTCATAAATTTCCACCCACAGGATGCATCTACCATTTTCCTGTATTGTTCAGTCAAACCTTCATAGAAGGCTTGGACAATTTGCCACTTGGACTGGCCATGGTTTGGACACTTTCTCAACAACTCTTTCATTCTCTCCCAAGAATCATGAATTTGTTCACCCGATGTTTGGGTGAATCCAATGATGGCTCTTCTCATGGTGTTGGTTCATCCTATAGGGTAGAACTTTCTAAGGAATTCTTGCTGCATTTCTGCCCAAGTTCTAATAGGTCTCCCTATAGTTCCCAACCAATGCTTGGCCTTGTCTTTCAAGGAGAAGGGGAAAAGAGTTAATCTAAGGGCATCGTCATTAAAGTTTTGGATCCTTACAGTGGAACAAATTTCCATAAACTCGTCTATGTGTTTGTATGGGTCCTTACTCGGGTTCTCGTAGAAAGAGGGGAGCATCTGGATTGTGCTTGATTTAATCTCATACTGCAAGGCTTGGGTATCTGACAACTATATGCAGGATGAAGGATTATACTAGGTCAGAGTGAAATACTCCTTCAGCTTTCTGGGCTGCTCATCAACGATCCCGACCATTTGGTTACATTGCTGCTGATGGAGGTATCTCTCTATCTCAGGTATGGGTTCTACTATTTCTCTCGTCAGAGATCTCCTTCCTAACATACAACTCAGAAGTCCCTTTTTCTTCTTTGTTAAAATTTGAAATTTAAATTCAAATTTAGATTTTGAAATTTAAATTCCTGAAATTTAAATTCAAATTTGAATTTTTAAATTAAAAAAATGCAACCATTTCACACACGGCCTAGGGGTTGACCTAAGGTTTCCTAAACTAGTGGTTTAACCAATGTGAATCCTCTTAGGTTCACTTGGAAGTACACCACTTCCTTTGGTTAGCTAGGTAAGAGGTGGGGATGTGGGAGGCTCCCCTTGCTCTTGCAAGGACCTAATTAAGTAACCACAAAACCCGCTTAGGCTTAGCCAGTTAACCTTTTTCCTTAGACACCAACCGCCAGTTATGGAAAGTAATTACAAGCTTCCCTAAAATTTAGCACACTTTTGAACCAAATGTGTGTGGCCTCCTAAAGGATCTTGCTATCCAAATTTTAAATTAAGGTTTAGGGTGAACCACACATCAAAGGGAGGTGGTTTTTGGGCCAAGGAAGGGTGATGAAATCCCCACCTTATCTTATTTAAATTGGATTGTCCTTAAATGGATTAACGGAAAAACATGGCTATCAATCCTAAAAATGAGATCGCACCTGCTGAAATCAGAAATAAAAGACAACATAAATCACTATTCTTAAAACTAAAATCGCACCAAGCAAGAAAAATTAAAGACAAAAAAATACAGGAATAATTAATTTTGAAACGAAAAAAAAAAATAAAAATAACTCATGTGAATAAAGAAATAAACAGATAACTAACTAGATCTAAAGACAAAACAAAAGTGATGAAGGGTGATTTGGCCCGACCTAGCGAAAAGGGGACACGTGGACATGACCTGATTAAGGGATGACAGCTCATCCTGGTAAGCCTAGTTCGCAACAATTGAGATCAGGTATTCAACTACCTTGGCACAGAATCACCTCGGCATAGGGTCACCTTGGCATCGAGGCACCTCGGCATTCAATCCAGTTCGGAACTAAAGAACCAAAGTATCAGCTCGGGGCTACCGACCCGAACCACCACGTAACGATTCCAGAAGTTTCTCCAACAGACTCCGAACCTCACGAGATCATGCCGCGTAACGGAGGGCCAAATCTTCTCCCCGCCCGGATCAGGCGGAATTGATAATATTTATTAATTGATACGTTACTCCCCAATTAAAGCAGAAACGGATCCCCTTAGGATGAAAATCCCATAACCGTTCTGCAAAACCCACGAGAGATCAACTATATAAAGGCACCAACCCTAATGACACAAGGTACGCGTGCTTTTTCTACTCTCTAGCTCTCTTGCTCTCAAATCTTTCAGCTCGCACCATAGTATACTAACTTAAGCATCGGAGTGACCTCCCCGGGTTAGCCACCCCGGGTTCTTTGATCCGCTGTCTTGCAGATTCACCTAGCTCGCTGCTTGATTGGAAGCCAGATCATCCTCCAGTAGGGAGTAGTTAGATCGTTCACCATCAATTGGCGCCGTCTGTGGGAAATGACCGAAAAGTCATCCCTCTTACAAGTTATCAACCTTCTTCTACATTAATGGCATCTTCCAGTCACAC